AGAGGGGGGGTATGGATGACGTTTTTATACTCCATCATCTGTCATCGAGTTGTATTCACTGTCTGAGGTCAGTATAGGTCTTCAGATGGTGACTTCACATTTCAGCTTGAGTATTCTGCAGCCTTGCACGAGTCTTCATGAGGCATCATGACGTCTCCTTTGTCAGATTTCTCTCTCTGGATGCCTAACCTTCCTGTCTCTCTCCTCCCTGTCCTTCAGCCTCGAAGCAGTTTTCTGACGAGGTGCTGCAGTGCCATAATGAGTTCAGGAGGACACACCAGGCATCTTCACTGAAGCTGAGCAGCAAGTTGAGCAAAGAAGCCACCCGGTGGGTTAACGCACAGATCACATCAGAAACCTAATTAGCAAGGACTATGCATACCTGTCACTGTCAGACTGCTCTGGGTAACAGTGACAGTTCCAGCCTAGCCTGTCAAATAAAATAACCACTTAATATAATAAGACATTGAGGATATTTTTAGTGTGATTACAATATAATGTTGACAGTTTATTGTGTTGATTAAATGCAAACTTGTGTGCTGTCAGGATAGATAGAGGCAATCTTCATGCTCATGCTTGATAGTGTAAAGGTTAACATAGATTTTTTAAACAAACTGGGATTTTTATCAGGGACTTTACCTGATAGGGTCTTTTGGCCAGATTTTCATTCTTTAATTTTACCTCAGTTATCTGGTCAAACAAAGGTTGAATAATAAATGAGTAATGGGAATGTACATTGACCTTACAAGCACAACAGTTGCACACCTCAGTTGAATACAGTTTATGCTGAAAACAGTATATATTGAAAATAACTATGGTGGTAAATATTTAAGTTTTGAGTAGAGTTTAAAGCGCAGCACAGTTCATTTCCACGAGATGAATGGTGCTTTTTACCTCTGTGTAAACAGGCCTCTGCGAAGGCACTTCCTAAATGATGCAACTCTTTCAGGAAGATAGTTAAGACAATATTGACACTGTAGATTTAGAAATGAAGTTTATATTTTACTATAAAGTTTAATTAATAGAACTCAATTCAATAAAATACGTTCGAAAGCTAATTAGACCGATATGGAAAGAGCTGGAGCTTGTGTTTAATCAGAAAATCATCATTAACTCTTTTGTAGGGGAACATCCATATGGCAAGTCACATGGCAGTCACATGATTGTCAATACAATCGATAAAATAGAGAAACAATTTTGTTTCACAACATCACAATTTGTAAATTATAGTAAATACTGTCACTGCATTAACCATTTTGATATGACCTATAAGTGACTCCTTTGTCATTCTGCAACTAATAGTAATATAGTATAATCCCAATATGTGCTTTTGAACAGTAATAATATCAACCCAATTACCAAAACCATGTTTAGTGGAATTGGTTTCAATGTAGGCTTTTCATTTTTCCCTGGATTAAAAATCTGAGGGAAGGATTTTTCACTGTGTATCTTGAAGGGTGGTGGACAGCAGTGAGCTTTAAAAACTATAGACTACTGAGCTTAAATCTTAAAAAGGGATGAGATTAAAGGATATGGCATTACTCACAGAGACAAGAGTGGATTATGTTGCAGGAAAAGACCATTTCAGCAGTGCTATCCATAACTTTTTTTGATTCTGTCAACAGCTATGCTGAAAGTCTGGCCAGCACACGGATCCTGAAACACAGTGCAGAGTCCAGTAAAGGGAACTTTGGAGAAAACCTGGCGTGGGCTTCCTATGACCAATCAGGTACATACAGTACATAAATACTCACCATGCTATTGATAAAACTGCATGATACTCTGTGTGCTCCTCCTGAAACACATCACTCCATACATTACATACAATGGTTTAGTCTAAGGGGCTTAAAGCAGATTGTTCTACCCTGAGAGTGAACAGCTGGGATCTATTTCCCCTCCACTTGGCACTGAGAGCCCAGACACCATGACTCACTGCAGAAATATGTCAGCGCAGGACTGTGTGATTCATAAAACATCTCCTACAATGCTGCACTGGGTGACAAAAAGTGCAGCATTGAAATGTGCCAAGCGAGATTTGTTCCTCGAGGGTGCAGACTTCTATAGCTGTCATTCTGATCAATATGCACAACAAAGAAGGGATTGAATTGTTCTTTAAGTTACACTTTTTTTCATGTACTGTACGTGCAGGAAAAGATGTCACAGACCGCTGGTATGATGAAGTGAAACAGTACAACTTCAACCATCCTGGATTCTCCTCTGGCACTGGTGAGATTTTACACGAGTGTCTGTCTGTCTTCATCACTTTCTCTCATATTTCAGCCAGTGTCAAACCTCCTCTTGCCTTACCATAACAACGCATTTAACCAATCTTAAATTCAGGAAAATTAAAGTAGTCATTAAAACTATTCTGATATTAATATACACTGAAACAATGAACATTAGGTTAGAAAAGTTTAATTTGTACGACACTGAAACTATTACTTTAGTTTTCGATAATGTCAGCCATGATTGATTAATTGTTCAAGCCATTCTTCAGAAAAATGCCAAACTTGGCTTTTAAAGGTGTCATTTTAAATAATGTTCTGATGCCTAATATCCCAGAAATGAATAAAAAACTAATGATGGAAAAAAGGTCAGTAGATTAATCAATACTGGACGGAAAATCATTTTTAGAAGCGCTGAAACAAAAAAACCCACTTAATATTTAACAGAATAGGGGAAAAAAAATGTTCTTTTAAATATTACAACAGTTATTCTCAGTTAAACCTGAGTGTGCAAAAATTCATTTACAGTAAACATCAGTATTGTGTATCTCCATATGTAGGACTAAGTGCTTAATCTTTGCAAACACATTGTATCAAACACTTCCCTAAAACATGTTTTCATTGCATCTTGACACATTTTGTTTGCATTTATCTCAATGAATCTACTTCTGGCTCTGTTTCTCCTTGATATATTCTATTTACTTGTTGTCAGTTTCTCTGTCTCTGTGCTATGTTATCCCAGGCATGGGCAATGTAAATCCCCTGTTGATGTCACACCTCAGTCAGAGTGTGGCTGTCTGACTCAGTGAGCAGCCATGGGGAAACTGAGGGGATTCGCAGTCCTCTGTATCACTCCTCAGCTCACATGTCATTTCCAGTCAGGCCTAATTCCCCCAGATGTTTTCCCATTGCATCAGACTCCAGTGTGCATGAGTCTGTTTAACTTGATCACACATGAAGCAGATCACTCCTAGGAGCTTGTTAACAGTGATTCAGACTGATTCATATAAAGTCGCCTGGTATAGCAAAAGAAAGGAATCAAAAGTAAGCCACGGGATGTTTGAATTTGATGAGTGAGAGAGGAACTAAAATTCCTTAGTCTGTAAATATTTAGAGGAACCACACTTAGCTTCTTCTACCCTATGTCCTAACAGTCAGTTGTCCACCCCTGCTTTTGCTGCCTTTAATGTCTTTCTGTGTCTTATTCTAGGCCATTTCACAGCAATGGTGTGGAAGAGCAGTAATAAGCTGGGAGTCGGTAAGGCCACTGCATCAGACGGCTCTTCCTTTGTGGTGGCCAGATACTTCCCCGCTGGGAATATCACTAACCAGGGACACTTTGAGAACAACGTCCTCCCTGCTCAATCTACCACCTAATGATGTCTAGCCCCAAAAGTTGACTCAAGCCCAAAGGCATTTATTCCTTTTTCCAGAAGAATCTGAAGTGCCTGCACTGAAGGACACTCAGGAGAGCACCACTTATTGCCTAGTAGAGATCCATAACAACATAATGTGGAATTTAAAAGATGAAAATAGCTTTGACTTTTATGATTTGGAAAGAGACCTGTATGATAGTGTTTAGAATGAACGAACCACTACTGTTTGGCTTTGCTAACAAAACATTTCAAGTGACTGTGTGGACAGTTTATATTTCAATAACATTGCCTGTGAAAGTATTTCATTCACTAATGCCAACATTTCACACATTGATAAACATTATAGCCTCACATCTGCATTGGAGTTAGAATGGAAACCAAGTTGAATGGACATGTTTTTTTATTTACTTGTGGTGTCATTGCTTGTAATTTAACATCATGACTCAACATGCTTGGTACGAGTTTTTGTTATGGCCATTACTTGTCAAAGCAGTCCAGGGGACATTTGTTTTGTACTCTAACCAGTTTTGTAAAATAAAGTTGATAGACTGTCAGAAATGCATTTAGCATCTCTCTGGGAACTCTTGTGTCATCCGTACTGTGTGACATTATACGAGATTGACAGAACCAAATGTGAGATCTCCGTCTGGCACAGTGCTGGCAAATGTTAACTCTGTGTAATATGATAAATATAGAAATGTTTTAGTAAATGTAAGCAGTTGTATAAATATTAATGAATTCATGTTTTCAAGGTTTATATTAAAGGTCTGAATCATTGTGAGATTTGCATAATCCCAAAAAGAATTAGCAGTGCAACGTATTTTTTTAATATCAGTAGCACATTTTCCTTTAAAAAGCAATTACTAGAAATCTTGTTTTCCTTGCTTATTGAACCTGACCCTTGGCATAATGAAATAGCAACCCACATTTTTTTCACGTGAAGAGTTTGAGAAAAAGATAGAAAATAAGCCTTCTATGTGTTTTCAATTTCTCATATTTTAGGAAAACACAGGCCTGTTAACCCTTAACATTAGCATAAATATGAGCATACAACTAAATACGTTATTAGTCAATTAAGATTAATTTAATTTACATTTTACCTATATTGTTGTCACTAAGTTTGATTGAGCAGGTTCCAATTCTGTGATTAAGGTTGCTTTTTTTTTACATTTGAATCCCGTGTGTCAAAACATTTTAAACAACTGATAGTTTTATGTATGATATGTCAACTATTTCTTTTACAGATGTATACTGTAGGTGCTAATACTGAAAATGGTGGTAGTTTTAATCCTATGCCTTTTGAATTTGAAGAATGTGAAAGGCTTTACTGCTCCGTTTGTAAAAACAAGTTTCAACAAAACATAACACTGTTACCCCTTCAGTGAAATGAATATTGCAATGCAGTCACAGCCCACATTGGAACAGACTTTATTTAGCAGATATTGGGGATGCAACATACAGTAGCAGCGATACAGAAGAGTCAGTGGCGTTTCGGCTTTATAGGCTGGAGGAGGGGGGTCAGGAGTAAAATCGTTCTCACCACTCACATGGTCAGCTCCTGCATGGAAAAAGGAGAGAAAGATAGAGAATGAGGTGGTTGGAGAAAAACTATCATGAATAAAAAGGTTACGTTGGAAACAAAACGTGCAACTGATTTTTCTTTATTAAATTATAGTTATTTCTCTATATTTTTTTGTCTATTCTCTGCTATTGAAAAGAAGAGATAAGACACTCTACATGTCACTCTGCTTAAATAAATAAAATGACCTGGGAAAGTCAGAATGAGAGGCTCTGTTTTCACCCTTCATCAACTTTTTCTAGTGAACTAATGCAGCTCTATCTTGCTTCTTGCCCCATCATGAACCATTTTTTACTGCGTCACTTCAACAGCTCAGTCATTTCAGTGCGAGTAAATGCTGCCACCTAGTGGACATGATACTGCACCGGTGACCTGCAGAACTGTGGAGGATGCTCAGTTACTGGGGAGAAACTCTTCTTGTCATTTGTCCCCTGCTCTCCTGTCCTCCACCCCTCCTCCTCCATGCACTGGCTATGACTCATTATTTTGTTCACCATCTGCCCTCCCTCTATCCTCTAAATCTTCCCTCTCTCACTCCCTCTGTCTCCTTCTCCTTCCTCCTCACCATGATAGCATTCACAATGTCATTATTGTTGTGTTTCAGTGCACGGACGGCCTTGGCGCGTGACACATTGGCCTGAGCCATGACCAGCTCGATATCCCTCTGCTCGAGACCACCATCATCCACCTGATGTAGGGGAAGAAATATAGATAGGGAGGGATGGATGGAGAGATAAAGTTAACAACTAAATAAAATGGTGTACAGAGTTGATAGTGTGAACACTTTTAAGAAATTGGACAGAAAGTACCTCTTCTTCCTCTTCTTCGCTCTCCTCTTTGATGGTGAGGCTGGGAGGGACAGGTGGGGCCAAGGGAGAAGAGGTCACAGGCACCTTGAATTTCTCTGCAGCTGCCTTGTGAGCCTGCTGAGATAGGTCCTCAATCTGAGAGGAGAGGATTGGAGAGGTTGAGAGGCAAACCAATACATGTACCAAAGCTTGAATAAGACCAATTTAAGAAAGACCTACCTTTGCCTCTCCAAACACAATGTAGATGTCAGATGCGGGGCTTTTGAACACATCTGGTCTGGTGATGACAAACAAGATACTCTTGGACTTCCTAATGGTGATCCTGGTCACACCATGGACCGGCTTCAGACCAAGTTTAGACATAGCCTACATACAAACACAGCAGCATAGAGAGGGAGCAAGAAGGACACAATTACATACATTTAACACTGGTGTCATATAGACTCCATCTTGATTTGTTTATTTTTATACAGTAAGGAATCCAACCTTGCGGGCCTTCTTCTCACTGCGGCTCTGCTTTGGTCGGTTTAGCCCTTCATCTGCATAGGAAATAGACTGAAAGAAAAAGCAAATATCTATTACTATATTTTTATATTCTATAACATTTTCATACATTAGTATTGCTAATATCATCACATTTGACTCATCTTATGTTTAGGTTTCTACTGCTATTTTGCTGATGCCATACAGTTTTGTTTTCTCTTGCACACACAGGAAGCTATGCATTCTATGTGTTATAACAGCAGTGACAGCAATTTGATTCAAGTACAAAAGATACATATATATATAAGAGCCAAAATGTGCCATATCGATAAATGAAGAAAGGCATTTTCAATGTAATCAACTGAACTTAAAAAGCAATCTGGCCAAAGGCAGGCTATCTCTGGGTAATGCAAACATATGCTTATAAACAATGATTCCCTGTATACAGAAGGCCACATTTTGTATCATATTTTTCTCAGCTTCAATACTAGTTTGTGATGTCAAGATCTTCTCCGTATTACACAGTTCATAGGTTTTAGTCTGTAAGTCTAAGCAACAGTTGCCTCCTGATTATAAAATAATGATGTTGAGATCTTGAAAAAACAAATTTGATTTAGGGTTAACCCTAACCCTTTTTTTCAACATAATCTAAATGCAATCCTAATTTAGTATTGAATAAAATATCAAAGATTTTAGTGATGAGTTATGCTAAGTTGCTCTCCGTTGCATGCCATAGGGTTTGAAAAAGAAATGATCTGGCGTAATGGGTTCAGTAAAAAATAAGATGGTTTCAGCATGAACTGTCTCACCTGGGGCTCTGATGGTCTCAGAGGCTCCGGCTCCTCCAGCTCAGGCACTGACCCCTCACTCTCAGAATCATTACAGGAAGCCAATATAGAGCCTGCAGAAAAGCATTTATTTAAAAATAATTCAAGTACATTTAAATAAAGTGTATTATATCCTTATGCCATGGAAACTAATCGTCATTGTAGGAGTAATGAGGGCATTAGTGACTCTATCTCATTAATGCTTTGCTGATGAAGAGTGTTCATTACAGAAATTCATAAACTCATCTAATCAACATCAGGAAATGTAATTATCCCATGGAAAATACATTATATCGTATCTGCATAGTATGTCATTTTATTTCAGTGAACTAGGATGCAGAAGATTTACGTCTCTTGTGTTATCATCTGTCATCAAAGCAAAACTACAGCTATTCTGTACAATTTAACCAAATTATATTCAAACTCCTTTAATATGTAACATAGAACACTGTGGATCACCTAGTGTAGCAATAGATGAGAGATATATAAAGTGACAGAAGAATTGGTGAAGTGTTAAAGAGGATTCCTAGTGTTGAACCTTATTTCCCTTAGGAGGTCAGAAGAAACTCACAATTGTTTTTGAAGGATAGGTCGAACTCTTCTGCAATCTTGTGGCTGTGGTTGATTGGACAGCCTGACTGTCTGTTGGACATCTGGTGGGCAGAGAAAGGCTGCATTTCCCTCTGATTGGATGGACCAGACTCTCTCCACATGGCCTCATTTCTGTTTCCTGCCACTCCTCTGGCCTGGGATCTGTGACCACGTCGAGGCAATCCACAATCATCCTCACTGTCTGTCTCCCCCTCGGCCAAGCTGGGACCTTACAGAGCACAACAATACTTGATCAGATTTGTATTACGAACCTTGCATTTGACTTGTTTACATAGATTCTTATAAGCGTGTGCTTGCCTTTTTATTTAATATGTTAGTCTACGCTTTTGCCTTTTATCCGCACTGTACCTTTGCCTGCTGTGAGACGAATAAAGCATTTGTGATTCATTTTATTGTTTTAAAAATCCCAACTTGCATCCCTTTTACTGATTACCAAACTGACTGTTACAAAAATGATGAAGGATTCCTCAGTGTGTAGTGCAAGGTGCTTTCAATCAAACAAGCGTTCATTTCTATACTCACCTCTGAATCTGTCTTGTGTGCTCCACGGGCAACCTTGCTTGATTTGTTTGTGTGGCTGGATGTTGAGATTGTTCTGAGACTGGGGACGAGAAATCGAATCTGCCACGCATGCTGAATCTAGAGTCTCAGGAGCAGGTAAAAATGACTCCTGGGTAGGCTGCGACAGGCTTGACAGCATGGCAGTGGAGAATGATGGCGGAGAGACACTTGTGGTAGATGTAGTTGATGCAGAAAAGACAACAGTGGCCTCTTTGAGGTTGTTGTTGTTGTTAGGGAGAAATTGGGGATCAGGGGCTTGTTGTGTTTTGGTTGAGGTACAGCAAAGTGTAGGGGTGGTGTGACATGTTGACAGGGAAGGCTGATGCAGGGCTGATAGGACAGGTTGGGATTCCTGAACAGGTGTGGGAAGATCATCTTCTGGCTCTGCTGAGGCACATGGTAGAGGGGAGGAAGAGGAAACAGGAGATGGGGAGGAAGACAGTGGAGTCAGAGAGTATGATAAGGTATCACGAGCAGGTAGGCTATGGCCAGCATCTATGTTGTTGTCATTAATATCTACTGTGAATCCTCTCTGACGATCAGATAGTGGTCTGTTATCAAGCACTTCCTGTTCCTGCTGTAGTTCTTGGTTCATTGCCAACACAACATTGAGGTTGTCTGGGGTATGTGTGCTAGGATTGCAGTGTCCATCGATAGGACTTCTGATATCAGGACTGGGACTGTTATCCATCTGCATCTGTGGACCAAATGTAGCTTTCTCTGTCCCAGATGTCCTTTGTTGAAAGTCCGACGGTGAAGATTTTCTGTTTGCCTTTCGGCCCTTTTTAGTTTTCGAATTGTCCACTGCCCCCTTTAACCATCCATCTGCTGTGGCATTTAATGGAACACACGTTTTCTTTGGATCATCGACAGATTCAGGGCTAAAGTCAGCATGACTGCTTGGCATGGATACCTTGTTTTTGTTCTGCTTCCCTCTCCTCCCTTTCTTAGCAGCGATTGGTTTATCTGTGCAAAGTTCCCCTTTAGGGGTGTGACACAAAAGGTGCTCTGGGCAATCCTGTGTGGGAAAGGTTTTACTTTCCTTTTTGTTCTTTTGGTCTTTCTCCTCACCTCTCTTTTTCGCTTTCTCCTTTGCTTTTTCTTCCTCGTCCCCTGAGTTACTCACAACACATTGCTGTCCTGTAAAGGCATCTTTAGTCTTTGGTTCATCAACAAGTCTGTCTGTCACAGGACTGACATCATCTTTTCTTTGGCCTTCAGTCTGAGGCTTCCCCATCTGTGGTCCTGGCTGAGAACCTGTATTTTCCATCTTTTCTTGACAAGTTTTACGTGGTCTGGGATCATTGGATTTACATTTAGGAGTGAAGGAACCAAATGATCCACGTGGCAAAGAAAACGCTGTATCACTCTCCGGATTGATCTTCTGAACCTCTGGACTAGTGAGACTTCTTGACCTGGCTTTATCTGGTACACTGAGATGCCGATTTGTTACAGCCTCTTTCACATGAGTTTCAACTGATGAAACTGAGATGCTACAGGCACCTTCCTCTGGTTTCTGCCTTGTTTTTGATGCTTGATTTATGGAGCTGCCTTTTGGTTCCCCTTTACCTGGATTTGTGTCAGACACCTGAGGTGGCATCTCCTCAAGAGGAATGTTAGACACAGAGTCTCTAACACTGACACTCACACTTTGAGGTCTCACTTCCTCAGATAGAGCATTCAGACTTCCACACATTGCTACTTCCAAAGAATCAAACGCAGAATCATTGTTGTTGTTAGAATTCGTCCAAGTGTCTTGTATCTGTACGAGTGTGTTATCTCCATCATTGTCTGGATTTAGGTTACTGACATCATCCTCTGGGAATCTGGAGCTTCCATCCTCCCCTCCGCCTGCTTCCGAGATTTCCTCAATGGATTTCCAGCAAGCCAAGTTGGACTCTGAGGCTCCTTCTCCTACCAATTCTTCATCCGCCATTTGGTCCCTCTTTCCAAACAGGCTATTGTTGTCTTCCTCATCCAGAACAGAACCCAGAACATTGTCATAGTTTTCACTCACTCCACTGATAATGTTTGGGACAACGGGCGCCTGTGTACTTTGGCCCTCTGGAGCACATGTTAACAGACCCTCTGCCTCTAACTCATACCTTTTCCCCAGAGACAGGGAGAGAGACTCTCCTGCTCCCCATACACTAAACTCAGCCCCTGGTCCTAAACCTAGACTGAACCCCAGCCCCATCCTGTCATCACACCACGCCCCAGCTCCAGGATGCAATTCCCTGCTCCCACCCTGGCTGTCTGTTTCTGAGTTTTCCCTTTTGGGTGAGATGGCTAGGGGGGAGTGTGGGGATCCAACCGCTCCCAGCACCCCCTCGTCAGTACTCAGGGTGTTTTCTCTGAGGTTCTCCTGGGCAGAGTCACTTGGGGTCGGGGTCAGATTGTCAGCAAGTTCTGAGATGACCTCTGGACAGGCAGAAATAGGAATATTACTGGCACTGGGACTTGTGTCTTTGGGGCAGGAGAGAAGAAGAACACCTTTATTCAAGTCATTGGTGGCAGAATCAATGCTTCTACTCTCCACACTCTTAGACTCAGCAGAGGCGTTCCCATTCCTCTGGTCAAGCTCAGTGTCAGACTCCCTGGGAATAATTGTCCTACATAATGCCTCTGGCCTTACATCTGATTTATTGGAGAAAGACTTTGACAATACACATCTACTTGCACCTACAGCCCTGTGGCTTTCTGGCTGACGATGACGAGGCTTGATGAGCAATTTGAAAGAGTCTCTTTCTGGTTCTTCTGTAGGTTCCTCCCCTGAAAAATCATTGCTCTCTTGCAAATCATTATTTTTAATCTGGGGATTTCCTTTAGCCACTTCCAGAAGAACTGAACTGTTAAGGTCTGTTGACTCCTGAGCAGAAGCAGCAGAAGAAGAAAGAAGGGTGTGGAACTCAGCGACAGCATCAGCTGGAGCAAGAACAGGAGTAGAGGAAAGATTCAAATAAGAACTTTCTATTGGTGGCTCTACAGGGTTGGACGGACCAGAGATGTCAATCATCTCAATCTCACTACCACTCATGTACAGATTGCTGGAGGACTCTGGTTGACAATAAACCAATTCTGAAGGATTAGTTGGTTTCTGGCAATCGCCTGGTTTGTCTTTACTGACTTGCGTGTGAGTTTTTGTTTGATCTATTCCACTGGTAGATTCTATTTTAGTAGCGGACTGCAGTTCAAGGGGTTTAGCTTCATCCAGAGCAATAGCTTCAGAAAGACCGGTGGTTTCGGGGTGATCCACGAGTTTGTCTCTGCTCAGTTGTGTGTTCAAAGGCTCAGCAGGTCCTGTTCCAGTGCTAGACCCCTGTTCAGGTTCTGTTGGAACTTCAGAATGATCAAGTGTGTCCGTCGTTGTGGGTTCTAGTGATTGTGCATGCCTCTCAGTGCTGTATAAACGTTCATCTTCCTCCCCATTATAGGAAGCAGAGTCTAATGAGTCATCTGTATCGTCTTGGAAACAGAAGGATTCGTCTAACCCCTCATTGATAGATGTCTCTGAAAGTGAATGAAGGAATGATGCTGAACTGTCCTCATCTATAGGAGCTTCCACTGCTTTGCAATCACACTTTTTATCACCCTCTTCCTGTTCTCCTTCTTCCGTTCCTTCGACTACTTTAACCTCCACCTTGGCTTCCTCACCTGCCTCATTATGTTCCTCACTGCCATCGTGTTCATTATTTTCATCAACACCTCCAGCAGCAGCATTAATGATGCAATCACCCTCTTCATAATCGTAATCATAATCATCATCATCATCCTCTTCATCATCGTCATCTTCAACATCTGCCTCCTCCTCTCCTGCTGCATAAGCATTAACATCTTTCCCTTCATTTCTGTCATTACTTTCCCCCAAGTCATTCTCATCCTCTGTCGGGAAGAGGGTGATTTCCATTGAGTCAGCCTTGAAGATAAGGCTGGTGTGTAGGGGAAAGGAGAGGAGGGAGGCAGGGATCATAATATCTTCATCGGGTATACCATCGGCACATGCTTCCTGTGAGAGCATGAACGAACTGGGACCGAACCTAGCAAAGAGTCCAGGACAAAAGGCATCCAGGGGGCTGACAGGTGAGTCAGGGCTAAGGCTAGATGAGGCCATGGTCATGCTCTCGGTATCAGGAGTAAAGGCAGTTGAGGGTAGTTCTGGGTCGTCATCCATCTGTCCATAATGTTCCTCTGATATGCATGTTTCCAATTGCAGTTTCAACTCTGTTTGCATGGGTCTAGAGTACTCTGCTCTCCCTGCACCAGCCTCTGTCAGTGGGCACAGTGAGCATTCAGACTCCCCCCCATCCTCCTGGGAGTCACTGCTACGGCTGCTACTGCTCCTTATAGGAGATGCATCGTCAGTTACCCAGCAAGGGCGACAACTTTCTCTGGAAATCTTGATCTTGTCCACTTTTATAGACTCTTCCGGGATCACCGCCCCTGTAATACCTATCCTTGAATTCATTGCAAAACCGTCAGGACGGTACAGGCAGAAGTCTGCACGCCTTTCCTCCTCACGTTCTGGACCTACTCGTCCCTTTTCCTCCCCAACTTCATCTCCGATCTCTGATAAGGAGCCCACAAAGCAAGCCGGAGCTTCCTGTGCTTCTTCTATGAGGAGCAGATTTGGAGAAGTAGATGGAGAGGTGGAAGATGTGTAGGAGGAGGTCCAGCTGCCTCCTTCTGCCGTGATATAAGAGCCAGAGGGAGAGGTAAGAGGGGAACAGAGGTCCTCACTGTCAGAGGGAGAACCAGGGGACAGTGGGCAGACTGGAGAACCAGGATATGAGTGATGTTTCAGGTGCAAAGAACGGGAGCTCATCTTGATTGGGGTGGAAGGGGCTGTATAGTATAGGTCAGGGTCAAGAGATGAGGGCACACCCACTCGTAGTGGGTCAACAGCATAAGCTGGCTCAGAGAAGGACAAAGCAACTGGACAGCTCAGCTCAGAAAAAGAAAGGGAAGGCACTTCGTCTTGAGCAAGGGTTTGACCCTCTTCCTGGTTGTCTTTCAAATTGTCTTCTGTTTTGATTAGATCTGGCGAGGAGGAAGAAGGGAACAGGGGATTTTGAAGAGGGGTAGGGAGTGAATTTGGGGGCTTCACAGGTTCTTTTTGTTGATCCTGTTGTTTCTGAGAGATTTGGACTTGGTTTTCCTCTTTGCTAGTTTCCAGCTGGGTCTCTTTTGCCTGTGCCTGGTTGTCTGAACATCTTGGAATAGCTGGCAAAGGGATAGCTTGACCTGCTGGCTCAACCAGGGGTTTCCTTTTCTGGATCTCCGTTGTTTTGAGCAGTGTCTCTTGACCCATCACTACCCTTGCATCAATGATATGTGGCTCTTGATAGTCACTCTCCACCTCAGAACCAGTCAGGACCTGGGAGTAACATAGTATACATGCAAAATAAAGTTAATATCAGTGTAAAAATGAAATGTTTCAATTGCAAACATGCTCATACACGCAAAACACACACCTTGATCCTTTCCATCTTAACAGGGACATGGCGGCCACATGGTCCATGACCACCTAACCTTCCAGACATCCTGGGTGTGTTGCGACGGTCAGAGCCTTCAGGTTGAGGTCTTGGAGTACCAGATGAGTTAGGTGTTGCTTGAAATAATCGTGGTCCAAATGGAGAGGTGCATGATGGGAGTAGCTTCTGAGGAGTGCTGGGAGAAGGGCTAGAACCACTGTCACTAGGAGAGGAGCCACTGTCACTAGGGGTGGAGTCAGTGGACAGGTGTCTGGTCATGTCTGAAAAACAGATAAAGCAATGCAAAACGACATTTTCAATAAAAGGAAGGAGCAATTATGAAAACTTTTTTGTATTAAGGTTTCATTGTAATTTTCTACTGTAGAAAGTAAAGACATATGTGACCCGCTCTATCGAAATCAGTCGGAAGTCGCAATGGCTCATTTGAAAATAAACGTGGATTTGCGGAAAAAACTATTTTTTCGGGGTTCGGGTGTTTTGTTTGATTTTAAATAAACAAAGTCTTGGCTTTCAGAATATGAAACTTTTATTTCCAAAATCACACGATAAATACATTTGTGAAGCTTGTAAAGGGAAGATGACAGGCACCTCTCAATCGCAATCTGCTGTTCCGCAGCGCAGCTCCCCCTCCCTCCGGCTGAAATTATGAATGTAAGGCATATAGTATTCATAGATAACACGGCAGGGTCCATTACAGTTTGTTTTCATCTGATTTCAATTAAACAAAGTCTTGGCTTTCAGAATATTAAACTTGTTTCGGCAAATTTAGATGATAAATACAACTATGAAGCTTGTAACGGCATATTTACAAGCGGAGAACGGAGTAACTTAACGTCACAGCAAGCATAACAACAGCCGGTGTTTCTTGTGAGTGTTTTCCCCGGGAAACAAACACAATATACACAAACGCAAAAATACACAAACACACACACACACATACACACATACACACACACACTCGCGAGCTTCCCCCAGACCAGTAATCCAAACGGAAATATTTTCCCTCCAGACTATTTTGATCATTTGCTCCGCTAATAATCAATCAGATCGATGGATTCCAGAGAAGAGGAAACTTTGAAGGCCTTTTTCTCAAAATGATGACTCGGTGACAGTCATTATATAATGTGACATATTTTGCTTAATATTTGGAGTACAACAAAAATCTTGATATCATTAGAAAGCTAGGAATCTCCTCTTTCCAACAGTGTATACAACTCAAAATGTGTCTTCGGGTCAATGCGACTGATTTCGATAGAGCAGGTCACATATGTGAAAGACTACACCTTCTTTAATGTACAATAATAGACTTTTCTTCTCTACAGTTGACATTCACTTCCTCTCGCACACTCTCAGGAAGAGCTCCAAAAAATTTCACTAAAATTCCAGTCAGTAGATTAACCGAATAACTCAGCTCTGTGTGTTTCGAGGCCACTGGAAATTGTTTTAGAGTGCAAAACAAAAATCTGAAACTAAAGACTATTGCCAGGCTGTTATGGATGTGTTTTTGAAAATGGTTACAAAATGATAAACCTTCTTTTAGTATTTCACTTACAGTAAGTGCAAAACAATGCTACTGTACAGTACAGACAATGTATTTATGTACCTATAGTTTATATTTTTCTGTATCAACATACACAATTGCACAATTAGCCAGAGGCAAAAAGAACTGTTGTTGAATTACATTGTTCTCCGTCCTATTTTCCTACGAGACCATGCTATCATCTTCATAACTGTCAATAGGGATGGAGAAATCACTGAGATGAAAAATGGCTGAGTGAATCAAAGAAACGGGATCAGGGTTGATTGGAGGGGGTTTAGTGTATGAGCAAAAAGGGGTAAACAAAAAAAAGATAGAAAATCATATTTTTCATTTGTTTAGTTCCCCTGCTAATCCATCATGATTCTTAAATGCCTGATTATTTACCACCACACAAAACTATACATTCACTGAAATATCCCTGAGGATGCAATGTAAAGCCTGTTTCTACATAAAGGAAACAAAACCTTCATACGTTTTCAACTGGGCCATTGCCACTGTGACCTCAATCCACATGCTGATTGGCCATTTCAACACACAAGTGGCTCAGCCCTGTGCCAGTTACAAACACACACGCCTTCACACACGCCTTCACACACGCCTTCACACACGCCTTCACACACACACACACACACACACACACACACACACACACACACACACACACACACACACACACACACACACACACACACACACACACACACACACACACACACACACACACACACACACACACACACACACACACACACTTGCTCTGCCAGGAACCTTGATATCACTTACTAATTCACTCTCTGTTCTGTATCCCATCCTTTGTTTCACTCCCTTTCTCTCTAAACCTTTGACGTATTATCTCTGTATACATTAATATATACTTCCATCCTCGGGTATATATATGTATATATATACTGTAAAAATATGCAGCTGCCTCTCCTTGTTTCACTATTGGTTGTGACTCTCGGCTCCCTGCTCTCGCCTCCATGTTCTTTTTTCCTCTGCACACAGAATATCTCCTCCCTTGTGCTCATCTGCCCTGCCTGTTGTGGTGGCAGATGCAATCATCAGCACTTAGCAGCCCTGCTGCCCAATAATAAGCTCTTGGTGTGTTTGTTTGTTTGCTGAGTCATGCATCATAGACTAACCTGCCACTAATCAGAAAGATGCATAGCATGCAACAAAGCCAATAGCGCCACTACACTTACATGAACAGCACAGTCTAATATAGTAAATGGGTAATTGTTTTTTCATTCTGCATGGCTTTAGTGACCATATGTATACACATATCAATAAAACATACTTATCAATGTCTGACTTATAGAAAACTCATCAAACCAACTACTATTGAACACATTCAGAAATACTATATTTTGTTTCCCTTATATACATAGCAATGAAATCACATAAAACTGCACTGTTGTAGCTTTTGTTTTGCTAGGCTGCTAAATAATCCAGTGATGTTTTTTTTCTGCTAGCATAGCATTCGTAGTCTCTGTCTCTTAGCTGCAGATTCAATTCTGTGAATAATATATGGATGTCTGACTCTCCTCCTACTCTCCGGCCCAACCTAAAAGTCTCCTCTGGGAGGATGCAGTGAAATGGAGCACCTGGCTTGCTGTACAATGAGCAGGCCACAGCAGGCTGAGCAGACTGGAGCTGCGTCACAGAGGCTGCAGCGCTGGCCTGCCAGCCCCAAAGGGAGCCTCTATTACAACTACTGGTGCGATTGAACCTAGAGACAGCCTAATACCCTTATTTGCTTTTTCTTCTCTTTTAATAAGATCCCTGTTCTTTAGTCATAAACTATCCTCTTATACCCCCCCCCCCAAATTCAGGCCAAGAAAGCTTAAAATAATTCTAAGGCTAAATTAAGATCAGGGTAATGATGAAGCTAAAGCAGGAATCTTTGAGAAAGAAAAAGCAACCCACTTTAAAGTATTTCCAGCAAAAAATAGACGGTGAGTTGCCATAACTCTTTAAGGTTATCCATTTCAACTGTCGTGTTGTTCACAACAGTATGATAACTATATTGTGTACATTAACTGTAAGAGACACAACATTCACAAGACTGTGCTCCAATGATGTTGATCCCACTCTGACTGTAATTTAGGGGATACTAATACAATCCTACCAAGTCCCAACATCTCATTTTCAATGACACAACATTATCTAGCTCCCTACTCTAAATTGTATTGAATAACTTATTTCATGATTTCACAATGTCAGATACACAGCAGCAACCAAGCAACAACTGATAAGATGTGTGACAAAAGCTCTTGTGCATGTGTGGTTGCGTTTGTTGGTTCCTACAGAGTGCTGCCATGCTGCTGTGTCATGTTCCTGCTGAGGCTGGGGGAAGGGACTGGGATGAGCCACTCTACGCTTACAGCTCTCACATTTGCTGGGAAGATGTGGATGTGGATGTGGATGGGGTGGCCCCAGGGCTAAAGATGGGGCAGCAGGAAGAAGGCTAGGGGTAAAGAGCCCAGGGTTTTTAGTGGAGGAAGATGGGCCTGGGGTTCTGATGAGGACAGGTGCAGGGAGAGGGCAGATAGACATGGCTTTTGGAAGTCCATCATTTAGATAAGAGGTTGTTTGTTAATAGGGATTAAAAAGAATACATACAGTTGGGCAGGGATTTACAGTTTGGGTGTAGGGAAGGATGCTAATAGCTGGGAAATGGAGGGGGAGACTGCGGTTTAGTGAGCAGGCTAACAGGCAGCTGAATCACAGCTTACTCAGATTGCACATGTCAACAGATGGACAGGAATGACCCCACATGACACTTTCAAGCAGATAGTGCTTCCATCACAGTGTGTTACTTTCACCAACGCAGTATCCTTTCTATCCTGCTAGCTCTCTCCCCTCCTGCACCAATCTATTTACCACTTCCTACTCGCTCAACACTCATCCTCTCTCCTCAAATAATGTCCCTGTCTCTGTCTTCATCTGCATGCTAAAGTACCTCATTCTCCCTTCACAATCCCCAACCCCAGACCCCAGTCCTACCTGGTCCAGGGAGCCCCGTCTCCTCAGCACCCTGCTCTGGATGTTTGTCGGTGGGGACAGATCTGCGAGAGCTCTCACCCGGCATGCTTCTTGCTGGCTCGCTTTGGTTCTGACGCAACAACAAACCACAGAGCCGGAACAGACAAGGTGAAATGGAAGAGGGAGTGAGAGAGTGAGAGAGTGAGAGAGGAGAGGGAGAAAGAAGAAGAAGAAGGGGAGGGGGGACCGGAATGCTTGGCGAACCAACACTCAGATCTACCCTGCAGCACGTGTCTGTCTGTGTGTGTGTGTGTGTGTGTGTTTGTGTGAGACAGAATGAGATAGACAGAGTGAGAGATGGAGTATAATCTCTCTCTATTTGTGGTGCAGCACGGTGATGCTGCTGATGGGGGCGTTTGCTTTAGAGTCTCATGATCCAGTTCATCTGAATATACAGTATGGGTGTGTGTAGATTCTGAAGGGGAACTGCAGTATCCTCTCTTCATGACCACATTTCAGCTCCTCCCTCCCTTCCTCCCTCCCATCCTCCCTCCCTGAATCTCTCTCCCTATTTCCTGCCCCTCCTTCTCCTTCGATGACTGGATCTTGGGGGATGATGTCAGCAGATTTCCGCTGTACTCTCAGTGCTGCCCTCAACCTTGAAGGAAAGGACCAGTACTGCAAAAACAAGACAATGGAGACATCAAGCAAAGGAGGGGGCTTCAAGGAAAATAAAACCAACATGGAGAAAGAGAAACAGAAAATATGGACAATTAAAAGGGCAGAAGCAAAACCTAGACGTGTACTGCTAACTATGCCATCTGCCTCCTGCTCTGATTGCATCCCCAAGGAATCAACATGGAGACATTTCCCCCAAGGGCGAGCTATAGCATCTGTTGTCTCTGCTCTTCTTCACATATCCAGCCCGCTCTTATGTCATTTACTTTCATAGATGAAAAAGTCAGGGGAAAATAGACATAAAAAGAGAGAGAGGGGGCGACAGCACTGTGCTAAATGATCAGCAATGGTAGTTTCCATGGCAACCTAAAACCCATGATTCCCATGATGAAATTGCCAGCTCAGCAGAAGTGCCGCTTTGTTGGATAATGTCTAATAGCTTGGTAAACGAATATACCTGCCGTCAATTTGAGTCAAAGCAGGAACAGTACCTTTGAGCAATATCTTTAGTTACACATTAAAATACTGTTTACTTGATTTATTGAGTAGTAATACATCACCATTGCGCTATAAAAAGGAGGCAGACACTGCTATATTATCAGACAGGAGATATACTATGACCAAGGAGTTCAAAACTGGAAGTGCTAGCTTAGCTTTTTGTCATCAGTCAATCAATTGATCTATGAATCCCCAACTATCAGGAAGGAGGTACAATGGCCCCAGATCATGTGATGATTCATCAGCAATTCATTTTCATGTTTGTTTTTTCCTGTAACTTCTTTTGCTGCTTTGGCTTTGTATTATTCGTTGGCTTCCTCTCAGTTTAAGTTATTTTCCCCCGGCTTGCATTTGTCAGTCTTCCTCCCTCTGCCATTAAACAGACTCTAATGTCAGGGTGCTGCTGCCCATGTTGTTGTGTAAACAGTTTCAGGGGTCAGCAACATATTTATCCGAGAAGTGTACCCATGCTGTTTCTTCAAAATACGGCTGTTGCCCATAAACATATTTAATTATTTTTCAATTTCAATGTATCAAATTGTACACAGGACTTGAAGAAAATTAATCAAGAAACATGTTCAATATTATCCACTTCTAAACTTGCTATATTTAGTGATTTTAACATACTTTGAGCTAATCCTCACTAACATTAAAAGAGTGGATCACATACAGTATGCCATTTAAACATGTATTAAATACAATACAAATATTTTATTATCTTTGCTTTTTAATGCCTGTTGTAAAATGCCATTATATATTGTGTTTTACTGTATTTATTCCTAAAAAGTATTTTAATTTGTTTTGTAAAGCACTTTGAATTGTTGCGTGCTGAAAAGTGCTATATAAATAAACTTGCCTTGCCTAATATACAGTACAAGAATAAACTAGTGGCACAATAAAAAAAATCACAGTAGTTTGCTAGCAAAGCTGAGAAGACAACCTCTCATCACAACACTGTATGCAGATTTAATAAATGTTTGCCAATATTACTGATGCAGTCAAAAACACCAGTAGACCAGAGGTGTGCCACTAGCTGATACATGTGAAATTGATCACAACAGATCTGAATGTCACACCAAACACAACACACTGCAGCAGGCCCCTGACTGTGCCCCTATGAAAATGTCACACACATCTGGCAACTTCCTGAATCTAAACCCAAGGCATGCATGTGAGAATTAAAAGACAAAACATAACCTAATGATAATAAAACCATTTATTCTTTCACAATATGACACACATTCACAGTTTTTCAATCTATTCAGATGCTGATATAAACTCCATATTTTGGCCAACATTCTACAAATGGCTTGGGAGTTTCTCTTTTGTTGTCCCTTGCAGATGTAAATACCTTTTTGTTGATTATCACATTCCTACAGAAGGACATCGCTGTTGTTTTATTTCCGTCTCTCTCTCTGGCTCCTAAACTGTTGCTTATCATTACCATGGAAACAGGGAAAGCCCCACAAGTTGCCAAGGGAACCAGAGTGAAAATATTATTTTGGTTTTCTGAAAAAATATGAGAGCTTTTCTGCAATACGGCTCCATTCGAAGTGTGAATGTGGGTGTACATATTCTCTGTGGTCCCACTTGATTGGGAACGCTCTTATATAGCCGAGTCTGCAAATGTGCTAAAATGATTGATGGGTTCACTTGGCCATGTCCTCGGCTACAGCCTTCCCCATTTTATCCTTAAGGTATGCCACTTTCTGCAGGTCTGTGTTCAGCTCCAGCCAATCATAATATGGCACCTGAAAGAGGGCAAAAAGAATCATTTAAAGACATTTCTTTAAAGAGCTACTGAGCAACCACCTTACGATTATCAGTGAGTGCTTAAGAGAACACACTTGTAAAATGTATCTTATAGTCATATATTTATTGACGCATTTAAAAACAGACAGTGTTGCTTTCTTGGTCTCAGGTAGACATAGTTGCCCTGATAACAGATCCTGCAGCATTGCAAACATAGGAGGCAGGTGAAGACACTATTGGCTAAGGAGAGTGTACTAGATGAGAGAGAGCTCTTGGATTGGCCTAGATGAGACAGAGCTGCGGCAGGAGCTCTATTTATACAAAAGACTGCAGCGTAACCCACCTGACTCTCATTTCTACTAAAGCTTTGGGCCTATTGTTTGCAAAGCCTACGACTGTCAGATCTAGAAGTGGCAGTGCTGCTTCTCAGTCTCTATTCATTGGAACAATATTCAATAACACAGCAAACACAACACAACAGACATGTTCTTTTGGAATTATGGAGTTTGTTATATCAGGAGACCCTATATGAATGGTTAGAGGAGAGTTACTTAAAACAAATTCACAAACACCGCCACTCCCTACCTCCACTGTGTTGAAGCCAGCCAACTGAAGATGCCGCTTCATCATCGCAAAACGTCCAAGGAGTTTGCTCTTTGAGCAAAACTTTGGAAATTCCCAAAGCAAGAAAGCAAGCCTAACATGTGTGAAAAAAAGAGCAAAAAAAACGTTAGACTGCTACAGCAAATAAAAAGCAGATGCAACATTTAAAAAAAGGTAAAAGGCAAAAATACATCTTCAACAAGCAAAGCCCACAGGATTCTCCTCTATGACTAACCTGTGTGCCCCTTCAGATAAAACCTCGCCTCCTCCTCCACTGTGAAGATGAGGGGCTTTCAGCGTCGTCAAGTCAATTGGTTTGTTGTCACAATCCACTACCAGTTCACCATCTAGTGAGAGAAGGGCATGTCAGATGTAAAAAACCTCACTGATTCAATGACATAACTGTAAATGTTACTTTCAGTGTAAAAGTGTGAAAAAGGGACTAACGGCACGACATGTGTCTATACAAGTGTCTGTAATGACGCATGGGCTACCCTTACCAATAGTCCATCCATAAATAGTTTGGACCCCAGTGCGAAGGGCCTCAGTTTTCCCACCCACTAAACTCTGTAAAGTCTTTCTTAGACTCATCTGCATGGGGGAGGGGGGGGAGCTCCTGTCCGAGACAGACAGGGCACTCAGGGAGGGCGGCGTGTCTGAGGAACCCGGATGCTCCAATTGGAGAGTAGCTGCAATGTGGAGCAGCTTCAGCTTGTAGCTCTCCCATCGAGCGGGAGTGCGATCTAGAGACAGAAAAGAGAACAGAAAGAGAATGAGTGCTGCCTGCTCAATGACATCGGTGCTTTTCAAAAACACTTTAAGTATGTTTTATTCAGGGTTCTTACACCTTTTCCAAAGTCAATTTCAAGCACTTTTCAAGGTGCATTTTCAAGCTTTTCAAGCATCTTACAGCTGTTGTAAATTACATATTTATATACACATACTTATACTCAAATGATTATTTCCCTACCTCACATTAAATCAGATGTTCTTTATGCTATAAACAACCAAATGTGTGTTTCATAATAGCATTCTACATGAGGATGAAAAATTAAAAATGTTAGAAAAGAAAACTAAGTTTAATATTTCAAAATGAGACCCATCTGTACGTAGACTGGGCATCCCATATAACCTGGCTGAGCCAATATAAAACAATCAGCCAAATAACTTTTCAATATATTATTGATTACTATTTTTGAGGTACTTTTAGGTTGGCAGTGAACACAAGTCAGAGGTAAATGGTGTACTTTGACTCCACTACATGTATTTAATACCTTTAGTTACTTTACAGATGTGGATGAATGATGTGAAATATAATCAAGTGTTAAATCAGACTTTAGTTCCACCTGGAGTAAATTCACAAGCTACCCTGCAGTATACAAAGTCATTCAAACTAGCTGCAACTTTACCAGCTTTGATAACACTTTCATGATCAATCATTATAAAACATATCATATACAATTATTAGGGATGCTCCGATCGCCAATTTTGGAGCCGATCGCCGGAATCAGTATCGGCCGATACCGATATCGCTCTCTTTTCCTCTCTCCCCCTCTCTCTCTCTCTCCTGACAGCCCGTCAGTATCTCCTGCAGCTCACTGATCCAGTAATGAGCGACCCGACAGTGAAGAATAAATATATTTATAACTAGTTTAGCTTGTTCCAGAAGTAGATAAAATAGCCAAGTGTGTTAGGTCTAACTCTTAATGTGTGTTTCGCTCTGCTCACCGGTCCGTCACAGCGGGTGGAGCTGCAGGATTTCTGCTTCACACACACGTTGC